ACTATCCATTCATTATTATCCATATATTTAGCAGGGTAAGCCCTGGTCATTTTACTGCCAGTCACTAGGAAAATCAGTGTGTTCTAAAGACATCCTTCCTATTGGTATCGATGTATTACTGTAATAACGATTTCTATAACATTACTAAGTCTGCAAACAAATTTCCATTCTAGCTGTGCTGCTCATTTTTCAAGTCACTTCTAATTCTACAAAGCTTCTGCATTCTGACTGGATTTTTTAGGTGTGTTTTCTGTTTTAATGCATCTTCTTAAAATAAAAGTAATTAAGCAAAAGTGGTTTGGTCTTTTTTCCCCCTCCCTCTCCAAGCAACGTGAAAGCACATTTTGGATTCTAGAAGGAGGAAAATAAATAAAGACTTCATTTGTACAGCTCTCCTGCCAAAAAAGCTGGCAACAAAACAGACCTCACTGAAGTACTTTTCAGCAGGACAACAAAATTAGATTCAGTTTTAAGCCTGTGAATACTGACCAAAAAAAATTGCAAAATTTCCTTGGAGTTAATCCCAGAACTGGGATTTGCAAAGACACCCACTTGCTCAGAGCACAGCGCAACACTAGAACAGTTTCATATAGAAAGTACATTAAATGCATCTGTAACCTCAGTCCAGAAACTTAACAGACAATTGTAACTGGTGTAAAGTGCAAATCTGTTGCACTTAAATTTTAGTGCTACAAAACTCTCTAATGTGGGTATCATGGGAATGGTTAAATCACATGGGATCCTATAGCACTAGATCAAATACTTTATAGATCTGCAAGGCTTCCCCCCTCCCAATCATACACAGCCTCTTTATTTCTCTTTTGGATTTTCCTTTTCAATATGCAGGAACTTCCATAAAAGATTTATATATATATATATATATATATATATATTTTTTTTTTTTGCTATGTATATATATTTATTATATATATCAGAAGCTCACCCCAAATACCAGCCTGTCACCTGGTCCTGTGGCAGCCCAGTCTGTCCCTGCAGCTTTGGTTAGCTCAGGATCAAGTGTCTTTTCAGAGCCTAAATAATTGACATTAACATGAAGCAGATGAAACGCAGCAAAATTGTGAGTGAGGTTAAGATTTGCTTTAAGTGCACAAAAGTTTGCAGATTATTGCCTGTGATAGGAAAGCATTTACCTCTAATCTGTTAATAATTCAACTCCTATTAAGTTTCTCTATCTGATGAAGAAATGGCACAATCTCAGAGATACCCTCAGCAGGTTATGTTCTAATGTAGCTTTTCTAGATTCCTGCCTATTGTTAAAAACCTATAAAACAACTGAAAGTAGTAATAAAAGGAGGGTTTTATTGAAAGCAGGACTATTTTGCATTTCTGATGTTCAGAATGAAGTCATTAGGATTTATTACTGCCTTAAAGCTTTAGCACAGAATCCACCTTATCCATGCCATGTGGAATAGCAGAGGTGTGAAATTTCCCTTTTTTTTTTTTTTTTTTTAAACAGGAAAGAGCTCCCCTGCCAAGAAAGCCAAAAAAAAAAAGAAAAAAAAAAAAAGAATTAAAAAAAGAACTAAAGCCTTCCTACTTTCTAACCCACTTTTTACCAGTAACATTTTAAAGATACCAGGTCGAGGACGAGCCATCCTGATGAGATCCAGGGCAAGTCACTGCATCAGCTCCCACCTGTAAAGCTGCTGCACTAAAGCAAAGGCATCCAAGACTCCAAGGCTACAGCAACAGAACATGGTAAAATTAAGGAGATTTCTGGGTTTAAGCAGCAATAATCGTTTCTTTCTGCTCCCTCAGCATGCCTCTCCCTGAGTTATAGCACCACATTCTTGCATAGGAGATATTTTCTACCCTCCTTAACAAAACACACTATTCCAGTCCTAACAAAAAAGGTTTCCCTGCTAGTACAAACACGTCCCATGTCAGAGAATGCAAACACTCTCACTCACGTATCTGAGTGAGTGCTCAAGCTATCGAGTTTAACACGTTTACACTGCTAAATTTTGTACTTGACAAAAGGGTAGGGAGTTTTCCAAGGATGTAAGCAAATAGACCTTCTATCAGCATACTTTAGTTGCTAAAATCTGCTTTTGTGGCCATTAACTGCAGGACTAAAATAAATCAACAGCATATAAGGATTTCTTACTGCATGTAGAGCAAGCCAACAAGCCACAAGTTATGACAAAAATTACTTTTCTCCAAATCCCTTCTACCCTCTATCACTAAAAGACTCATTTCTCACTTCAGGAGAAGGTTCTTTGAGGAAGGAGCTGTGGAGTTCTCCTTTTCCACCCTCTGCACTATTTTCCCCCTAGTCATGGATTGCCAATGTTTTCAATGTGAAAGCAGACACAGGATTTTCACACTGACCTCAAACATGTTGCAACAATGTAAATAATAGGTCAAAAATACAGTTTCCTACTCCATGGGAAGCCACACTTCCTCACACCCTGATAGGGCATCAGGGTAACACGTGATTTGAAATTTTCTTCTTCTCTTGTTCAGCAGGGAATCAGTCTGAGTGCCTGCTGATGAAAGGCGTAGACTTTAGACTAGCTGTCCAAATTAAGGCATTCCAAGGATTTTCTAGCCTTTCTTCCAGATCTGTGTGGTTTTCTTTAACTTCTCATGTCCTCTCCTCTTCCCAATAGGACTGTTTCTGTAAATATGCTGATGAAGAAACTGCTGTTCTCCCCAAAACATACCCAGGTTGCACACACAACTTGAATTCATTCTTACCCCTTTAGCTCGCCAGAAGGCCCCATAGCCTGTCTGCAGAGTGGCAGCTGCTGTGATTTTAAATAAAGGTTCAACTACTCCTTCCTTCCCTATCCACCCTGGAAAAAATACACAGAAAATTAAAGAACACTTTAAGAAAAAAAAATCAGTCATAAATCTATAAAATTAACAGAGAGAGTGAAACCAGTTGTTCTTGATATTGCACTTTCGGAATTAGTAAAATAATTAAAAGAAAATATCTACTAAGACTAACTCATTATGAGCTACATGTCAAAATAGGATAGAGTTTAAGCTGCCAGGGAAAGGATCTCTGAGCTTAAGAGATGGTCTTAATTAAAACAGAGATCCTAATTTAGTCCCTGTTTGCACAAGAAAATCTATACTGTCATGCTTGGACTGTTTTATGTAAGTTAAAAACAAGACCCATAAGAATATTATATTCTCTTAACATTCACTAAAATACTTAAATCAGTTTGGCATAGACCAATCATTTATCAAGGTATGTTGTTTTTCATACATCTCTGCAGGTTTTGGACTAGTTTAATCGATACAAAATTCAATTAAACATCTTAGGACAGACAAAGCTATGGCAGAAAAGCAATTAACTTGCACCAGGTGCCTTGCATCACCTTGCACAGCTACTACTGCTGCAGCAGAGCTAAACAAAACAGCTCGCCCATCGTAAACTGCACTTAGAGCTAATAAAGACATCTCAGCTGCCTGGGAGCATCTGGATGCGAAGGATTCCTCCCCTGCCTCCATCAACTTGCTCATCCTGCGAGAGCATAAAAAGCATAAAATTCTGGGTTTCTCTGTATTAGATAGTGTATTGCAGAGGGAAAGTTGATCCCCACCTGAGCACTGCATTCCCGTTTGAAACCTGCACAGTACCTGACTGCAAAACCCCTGGGCACATGAAAAGGTCGAATGCAGTGCACGGCGCCCGCAGAGATCTCAATCCATACTCTGCACTTTGGCAACACAATCAGGCATTTCACCTACGTGCTCTGGGTACCTTCACATCTCCATAAAAATATCACGACACTCGATTTTATCACAACAAAGTATCCAAAGTGTGAAAATACCTGAACACTCTAAGTCAACTTTATGATGAAGCTTCCTAATGTGCCCCTTTTCTCGCTGCACTGTATTACCAGCGCACAGTTTTCAGAGATTTACACTAATTACACGACATTAACACACAACATTGACTCAGAAGAGGAGCATATTAGAGCCTGTCAGGAGCACGAGCGAGGTGCCATTAACTGCTCCTCAGAAGGAGCGGAGCAAACACCTTTAGCCACGTTGCTGAACGCTGAACGCACGGCCGGGACTTTATCCCACAGCAGCAGCTGACTGCAGATGCTTCCCTCTCCACACGTTTGCATTTGGACAGTTTGGGAAGCTTAGATAAGAGTTAAGATAATTTTCCTGCCTCCCACGCCCTAGAAGAGGTTGATCTAGGAAAGTGGTGACTTTCATAGACTTCCACCCATGCTCATGAACTCCTGTCACACAGCAGCAGACAGGGAAGCTGTTTTATCCCTGGGCATAACCGAGTATCCATTGGCTTGCTCTGAAACAGGATAATCAGACGGGCCTCAACTCCGCAGCCTGGATCTCTTCACTCAGAGCACGTATCCCGCAGCCTGCTGGCTTCCTCATCCGCCACGGAGCAACGCAGGCTCCTTGGAGCTGCCGGTGGCTCCTCTCCTTCCTCCCAAGGCTCCGGAGGGGATTATCTCCCCCAGAGAGCAGAGGGAGCCCATGGAGGAGCCACGCGATGCTCCAGAGACGGCTACGCCGCGGGAGAGCGATGCCCTGGTAATCAAAAGCCTCTTACCCGAAGCCACCTGGACCTCTGCTCTAAAGCCAGGGCTGGGAATCACAAGGGGATTATTCCACACGTGCAAGAGGCTCCCGATGGGGGAGACACGGCAAGGAGAGGCTCCTACCACCCCTCCTTGGGCACTACCTGCATCTCAACCAGCTTAAACTCATGTGGAGCAGCTCCAGGTCCCCTGGGAAGAACAGATAACGCAGAAGAGCAGCAGCAGCAAAGTCAAGCCATGAGATGTAGGCTTTGGAAGAACATTTTATATCCAATTACACTGTAAAGTCTTGTAAGGTCCTTGCAAATAACCCAAGGGGACCGTTCACCAGCAGTTGCAACTGCAGCCATCCTCAAAAGCCTTCACACAAACACATACCAGAAAAAATAAAATAAAATAAAATAAAATAAAATAAAATAAAATAAAATAATAAAACAACATATCCACCTGGCAGCGGGAGCTCGCTAGGCAGCCTGTACCCCAGCCACCCTGAGCAAGGCACGTTGGCAGGGAGGAAGGGGGCGCCTCGATGGTGCAAAGCTTTCTGCCGAAAACCACAGGAAAATT